GTTTTGAGCCCACTTTATCATACATTCTTTGACCTGTTCTTCTTCTGTTTCAAATTTTAATGAAAGTTTATACATTTTTGCAATTACATGTTCATCATTTGTACACAATTCCATTTCAAATTCTGTCTTACATTGTTCAGTACCATGAATTCTTTTGTCTACTTTAAATCTTTCTGATAAATGTAAGTAAGAAAACCACTGACAACTATGTCCCACTGTCATCAGTTGTTTTCCTGATTTTATTTTATATTTCCCTTGATAAAATTCTAGTATCTCATGATATGTTAACCATTTATCTTTGCCTATTATTTTTCTATAAAATGCTTCTTGTACTGAGAGCCATAAGGTATTTTCAGGCACATCCTGGGTTTGTATCTATTCCATATTCTCAATATGGCACATCTAACATAATGATTTTTAAAATCTACATTAATCTTGATTTTATTGTACCACAAATATCCATGCCACCCAAATCTCTGGTCATGCTCTTCTAACTCTAAAAGTCTTTTATTTCTCAGCAACACCCATTCTTATCTTCTTTATTTTTCTTGACTTTTTTTTTTTAAGTTTTTATCTGTGAGCTGCCAGGAGTCACTACTGAATTGGGCGGCCTTGAAATTCAAATAAATAAATGAAAGTTATTTATTTCAAACTGCAATTGAGACACATGTTTAATTGAATTTAAAAAATAGGCTATGAACATTATATTTTCCAGACACACTGTGCGATACTTCGGTAACAAGATTAAGCAATATGAATGAAATAGGCATCTTTGCTTGATCTATTGCTAATTATTGCTTGTACTGGTGAACTTGATCATTAAAATTATGCACCACTGGTAAGAGAAACCTATACCTGATACATAGCAATGAACTATTGATATTTATTTATTTAATGAATTAGCTGCCCAACTTAAACAATGTGACTCAAAACAATAAACAAAAAAGTAACTACATAATATTAAAAAACCATGCCCAATATATAAAATGGTGACCAGACATGATAATTAAACAACCAAAATGGGACACCACTTAACTGGACCTAAACGCCTGGGGAAAAAGCCAGGTGTGTTGTTTGTCAAGATTTGGGGTTTTTTTCCCCTGACAAAGGACATTTGAACAAAGTAAGTCATTTTTAAAGAATTTTTCTATTTATAACACAACTTTCAAGGTCCTTCTTGTTCTCCCTCTTCTTAGTATCATCATGGTTATTAATTTTGAAGTTATATTAATTTCTTCATATTCCTGCAGGGATCTGTCCTTTTTTATTAATTTGTTTAGCATAATGATAGAAAAAGATTAGCTGCAGCTTGGATAGGATTGTTGGCTTTATGAATCTAACCATTTTGTGATGCTTAAATTGAGCTTTTCTGTATTTTCATTTCTTCCCAGTCTGCTTACCTTTTCCATTCCATCCATGAGTACAGCTATATTTTCCCCATATCCCATCTCCATTCTGGAGTGTGAGGGGAGTGTGCAGTTACTTGGTCAGTATGTGTCTGCTTGTATGTATGTATGTATGCATTATTTATTTATTTAGTAGCAGAAGAATAAAAAGGTTAAGAAGGAGCATCCACAATCTACAATATAATCAAATATGTGATTCATAACTCAACTAAGTTAATTTTTCATCTTCCTTTTAAAAAAATTAGGCATTTGGAGCAGGGATATCAGATATAAAAGCAATCTTCCATTAACTGAGATCAACAAGATCCTGAAGAATTTGGAAAGCAAGAAACTCATTAAAGCTGTAAAATCTGTAGCAGTGAGTACATCCATAATTTTCAGCTAGCTCAGTGATCTTCATTTTTTTTAAAGCAGCACTTTGTTTTTTAATATTTTAATGTTTGCAGTATTTTTACATTTGCAATAAGCCTACCAACACAAATCATCCTTTTTATGAACTTTTTATAAAAGTTATAAATTTTTTATAAATTGTTTCTCTCATTAAATTATTGGCTTTGATTATGTAGCATGCTTTTGAGTAATTTCACAAAATGTATTATAACAATTGTTTTTAGAAAGCCATTAAATGCATGTAAGTAACAACAATGAACGGTCATATCATCATCTTGAGAAAACTGTTCAAATGATCAGTCATTCTTGTAATTCATTTTTTATTCCATCACCAAAATATTTAATGAATCGTGTAAGCTTGACATTTAAAGGCTACACTTTAATCCAAGAAATCATGTCAGTTCCCAAGCCCCTTCTCATCTTCTGAAGGTAGGACTAATACATAATTCTATAATATTTGGTGAAATAGTACCCCCTTCCTGACTAGCATGATTGAAGCTGTTCTTTATAGTAGAATTTACGGTTAAGTAGGCCCAAACAGCTGCCTGCCACATCCTGCCATGTCACCATAATAAAGTCAGCCACTTGATCTATAAAAATATCTCAAATTTTATTTCCTGAGAGTGAGTGGCATCCAGACTATTGTAACTTAATTTGCTTCTAAAAAAAACCCTGGTAGGTGGAAGAAATAGAGATAGGAATATATTATCAATATAATTAAATGGGTCCTATCTCCTTCCACAGAGATTCCCTTCCACCGCATTTTGTCCTGGTCCACACTACTGTATCAGTGCAACTAAAGAAGATAAAAACATACCCACCCAGGCTACAAGTGTCTAGTCCACAGAAATGTGGCTAAACTGAAGAATGAAATCAGCAGAAATGTAGCCACATAAAAATACAAAAGTAGCAAATTAAGAAAAATGAAATACTAAAAGAGGGGAGTAATCTATTTTAAATCTCATGTTTATGATTCATTTTTTATTCCATCACCACAATATTTAGTGAATCATGTAAACCATAGTTATTCCCTACTCCCACTGCCTTGCTAAACTGAGCCTACCTATTCTTAGCACATATGAATACCAGTGGATCATAACCATAGCTCTGGGTGAGCTCTCACTTCTTCCCCATTCATCTGTCCCACCAGTTCTCATCTATGTTATGGATTAAAAAGCAACACTGCCAGCTATCTCAGAGTTTCACTCTGGGGTAATCCAAGTATATATCCACTAATGTCCAGACCATGGATGGGACCAAAGGGTCTTTGGATGCTTTTCCCTTCCAGGCCAACTCTTTAAGTCTGGTGCACCACAAGCAGCCCATTTGCCTGCTTTACATTTGGGCTGAATATTCCACCCACTGTTTCAGAGGCCTTTAGGCCAGATGGTAAAATGTCTGAGGGAGGAGTGACTCTGTTTACCTAGTTCTCAGGTGTTAGATCTTCCAATATTAGATCTTTAGGATTTATGTAACAGTTTTCATATATTTCTCTCTCAGAATGGTAGGAAACCATGTCACCAATTCTGGGGAGTCATATTTGGAGAGCTTCAGGAGTCCACAAAAAGGGACTGAGAAACTTCATTTTCCCTATCCCTTTTAGAGAAAGTAGTATTAATTAGCCACAGTTTTATCCTTGTTCCTTGAACCTGAAGTAAGGGAAAAAAAGGGAGTTGGGTATGCAATATCATAAAGCATAAATATGCTTCATGATAAATATTACAGGGTTTTTCATATTGCAGAAGAGTTGAATAAAATACGTCATTAATTCAATAGGCATCCAAGAAGAAAGTGTACATGTTGTACAATCTCCAGCCTGATCGTTCTGTGACAGGAGGAGCATGGTATAGTGACCAGGACTTTGAATCTGAATTTGTAGAGGTGCTAAATCAACAGTGTTTTAAATTTCTTCAGACTAAGGTAAGTGACCCACTTGTATAATTGGTATATGATGTGATATATATCAAGGCTGCAATAATGAGAAATTGACTGCTTTATTCATTAGTTACATTAACTGAGAAACAGGCAAGTACAAACTGGGGAGAAATTATATAGAAATTAACTTCTTTATGAAAGTCTTTGATTACAGGTAGCCCTTGGTTAACGACCATTCATTCAGGAACCGCTTGAAATTATGATGGTGCTGAGCGAGTGGTACTTAAAACCAGTCTTTGAAGTTTCAGCCACCCCAGCACCCACGAGGTCACGTGATCGCAATGTGGGTACTTGGCCACTGGTTTACATTTATGACGGCTGCAGTGTCCCACAGTAACATGATTGCCTTTTGTGATCTTCTCTGCCAGCTTTCCACAAGTAAAGTTAATGGGGAAGTCAGCAGGAATGTAACTTTAGAGAGAGAGGTTAAAATATGATGTAACTTTAGAGAGAGAGGTTAAAATATAATTGTACTTACAACTGCTGTGAAAAATATCAAAAGCCACTTCTTTGTATCTTTTTTCTTTCTTTTCCATTTTTCTTTAATTTTTTTTCTTTTCTTGCACTTTTTGCTTTCTCTTTGCTTTATATCTTTTTATTTTTTCTTCCTTCCTTTATATTAGTTTGTATTAGTTTTTATCTTCTTTTTTAGAAGTTTTAATAAAAATCATATAAAAAAAAAGACCCCCAAAAATGAGGAAGCTGGCAGGGAAGGTCACAGGTCACTCGGATAAGTCTCCCCTACCCTGCAGCAGCCACCCCCAGTCCCGCCGTGCTCACACCTCATCTTACTGGCACCCTGCAGCAGCCACCCAAGCCCCACCATGCTGCACTGGCCCCTCCCATACCCAGTAGCAGCCACTTACCTGCCTGTCAGCCTGTTTGCGAACCGCCTGGGACTTGCAATTTCCTGCCAGCTTCCCCACTGACTTTGCTTGTTGGAAGCTGGCAGGAGGTTGCAAGGAGGTCCTCTCTTAACGACCTGTGATCCTCACTTGACAATAGCGTGGAGTGCTAAGATTGCCTTTGCTAAGTGATGCTGTCATGTTAGAAACCGGGAGACTGTGAGTTCTAGTCCCGCCTCAGGCACAAAACCAGCTGGGTAACCTTGGGCCAGTTACTCTCTTTCAGCCCTAGGAAGAAGGTAATGGCAAACCAGTTCTGAAAAAACTTGCCAAGAAAACTTTGAGAATGATTCAAGGTCACCCCTCCCCAAAAAATATTGACAAAGTTGCATTTATCTGTTTTATTTAAACTTCTTAGTTTTTTTATTAACTTTCTAGCCAACGTCACTTGTCAGATCAAATCAAATCAAATCAGTTTTATTGCAGCCCTAAGGCTAGATACAATCTAAGCATCTAATAATAGAAGTATTACATCAGAATACTTCTATTATTCTGATGTAAAAAAGTACATATCAGAAAATCAATAGGTATAATCAGATCCAGTCCATCCAACTGTATATGCAGATTCCTAGTCTTTGCTGACTCCGGTTTCACTGTTGCTAAGAGTATGGATAACCAGAGTTTTGGGGAACATAACTAGACATTTTATTCTGGATACTCTTCTTAAATGTTGTCAGAAAACTCCAGATTTTCAAAATCAAAATTGTAAGGCTAAAAGTATACTAGCATTTCCATTAACCTAAGGTTAAGGCAGAAGTTAAATCTAAGTTACACAATGCAAAATTGTTCTTTCAAATCCCAAATAGTTTCATTTTGCTACAATTGCTACTTCTCAAACCCTCAGAAACTACTTAGAACCTAATTACTTCAAAGATCCTCTCAAACATTTTGGCTTCCACTACTCATATATTTTTACAACCAATTTTAAAACGCATTGGGTGGGACTGGCAAGCACTGCTTTAAATACTTGGTCCTAAACTGTTTTGGGCTTTGTCACTATCTTGAATTGGGTCTGGAAGCTAGAAGGCAGCCAGTACAGTGCTTTAAAGATTGGTCACATGATCCCACTTAGTTACTTTGCTTAACAAATTAAATTATGTGTCAGCTGTAGTTTTGAGCTTGTCTTCAGGGTTATATGGAGTACAGTGGGGCAAAAAAGTATTTAGTTAGCCACCAATTGTGCAAGTTCTCCCACTTAAA